CTTCAGAATAAATATCAACAAATTTAATATCTGAAATTTTTACAACATGATTATCAGCATTTTTGTTAAAATATGGGATTTCTCCGATTCTCATGAATAAAAAAAAAGGCTGTCCTAAACAGTTTTGTCTCATAAAATGACTTACACACATGGTGAAGAACTGATATATATATAATTAAGGAGATGTGGTATGATTGCCAATGAAACTATCCACCAAAGTTCAAATGAAGTGGATGTAAGCAATTATAGGCAACCGTAAGCCGTTTTAATACATCAACAGTAATAGGTTTTCTTGAATCAACTCTTTCACACAAACGCTGCATACCTTTTAACATTTTTTCCGAAATGAATGATTTGCTATAATCATTCCAATTATTTATTTTCAACGTATAATTAATTCCTGATAGATATTTTTTAGAAGTGGTGTAGGAATAACCATTTTATGAAAGATAGGCAACGTTATTTATTATATGATCAACAAGAGGTGGCCAACTTTCCTCTATTTGAAAACTGGTCCGAAATTTACTGAATGAATAGATTGTATTTTCATACACATTCATCGTATTTGAAGTTACAGAGTGCTGTAAAAGTTTATGCACTTCGTCTTTAAAAGGTTCCAAAAACTCCACTGGAATTGGATGTGGCAAATCGTTGGCTGGAGGTGCTAGACGTCGAAATTTCGAAAAATTTGCACGAGATAATGCCAAAATGTGAACAGCTTTAACATGTTTGAACTGAAAATTACCAATTAGTGAACAGTAAACAATTAATCTTAAAACTGACATAACTCGTTCAGACTTGATTGACCTTTTATTTAAAAAATTCACTACTGCCATATTATCGATGTGAAAAAGTATTTAAGATTAATCAAACCACAAAAATATTGCTTGTGCTATTGGAATGATTTCAAGATATGTTATATCTTTAATTATTTCTGAACTATTCCATTCTTAAGACCACTCGAGAAAAGTCCATTGACCATTAAGATAAGCTGCACAACCTTTACTTAATCCACCAGCACTATCTGTATATAGTTCAAGATCAAAATTTAATATCCATTCTATATCATTTATATACGAAATCCCATTAAACTGTTCCAAAAATAATATCCACATCAATAAATGATTTTTCATGCCTGATGTCACCCTAATAAAGTGAAACGGGTTTGAAACTTTGCCCATGGTCGAATATAAACGACAACTAAACGCTCTTCCTGCAGGCACAGCCTTTGTGCAGAAGGCTAATGAACCACATATTAACTGCAATTCTTTTAACGTTACTTTTTTCATGCCTGATAATTTAATAATTCTGTCTAAAAGTTCTTGAACTTTTTATGTGGAATTTAAACAAGCATATTAACAGTATCAATTGTAAAACCCAGATATTCAATCAGTGTAGTTGGACCTTCAGTTTTTTTCATTTGCAAGAGGGACTCCATTATCTTTGCAAATTTCATTATACTGAAACACCCGTTGTTCACATTTATCAGAATCTTATTTGCCACCAAATAAAAAATCATCTAAATAACGGTCTCTATTATTTGAACAAGACTTGTTTTTTAAAACACATTGCAAAAAGGTTGAAAATTTTTCAAAAATAGCACATGAAATTGAGCAGCCCATTGCCATTGCCTTGTCTATGTAGTATTCATCTAAATTTTGAAACCAAGTAAGTCAAAATCTCCTGGATAAACCAGAAGTAATCTAAATGCTGACTTAATATTAATTTTTGCTAATTTAGCACCTTTTCCAAGTTTTTAACCATATTTACAGCATTATCAAATGAAGAATATTTAACCGAGGGAACCTATCATCAATGAAGTCATTAACACTGCTCAATGGTGGATATGATAATGGGTAATCAGACGAAGTCCCCCAGTTTGTTTAGGAACTAATCCAATAGGAGAACATCTTATATTAAATATTGATTTATTACAAAAAGGACCTGATATTCCTCTTAATGATATAACAGATTCAATTTCTAGCTCCAACAGGATTTGACAAAACAGATTTTAAATTTTTTGATTCAAATGGAATTCTTGGTCCATGATAAGTCAAACTAAATCCAAATTTAAAACCATTAAACAAAATTTGTTTATCCTGTTCATTTGGATAATCTTTTAGAAATAATTCTAATTGTTCAATATTAATAGGTGAATGTCCCATCTTCTAAATAAATCTATCCTTTGACAATTCTGAAAGAAAAGTTAATTTCAATTCATTTGATTCAATATAGGTACGGAATACCTATCATCAATGAAGTCATTAACACTGCTCAATGGTAGATATGATAAATGGGTAATCAGACGAAGTCCCCCAGTTTTTTAGGAACTCATCTAATAGGAGAACATCTTATATTAGATATTGGTCTATTACAAAAATGACCTGATATTCTTCCTAATGATATTGTATGTTATTTAAAGTATTACCCGGTCCAGCATGAACAGCTGTAGTTTCCAGTTGTTTCTGAGGTGGAGGTTGAACATTTGGCTCCACAGGTTGATCTGCTTGTTTTCTATTTCCGCGTCTTATTCTGTTAACCACTTGTGCAACTTCTTCATGGACAGGTTCCTCTTCTGGTGCAGGTGCTTCATGAGGAGCAGGTTGTTGAACACAAACATTGCTAATCCTGGGCCTTAATTTCCGGCGAATTTCATTTCTTCTCCTAGGCATTTTATAAAATGAAGTCATTTTAAATATAATGTTTATAAGTATACAAAGATGTTTTAATTCATGAGACAGATTACATTGATGCTTCGGCTGCATATAGATAAATTCGTAAATTAAACAACTGTTCCGTACTTAAAATATATTCTACTATAAATGTGTATAATGTACGCCTCTTAAGACAGCTATATGTGCATAATAACACTTGGAAAATTGGACAACAGTTGTAATTATAATTAAATAAATGCCTTTACATTTGTAATAATCGGGAGTTCCGTAACTTGATAACAGGTATCATATCAGTGTCAATTTATTGAATCAAATTTAGGTAAAGTACGTAAAATAAAATAATGTAACTAAGCATATAATCACAAGCAAGCTTACACATGCATTCCACAGCTAACTAAATGAGAATATTTATTGCCAAATTGGTAAAATAAGAACAAACACTTACCGATAAAAATACCTTGTTTAAGAACTGTGAATTAAATGCAACAACCAGAAGTAAATGAAATTAAACGGTTGTAAATAAGCATATATATAAATGTTATATTAAAGCGAAATAAAACAATTCATGTATTGAAAACGTGAAGATAAAAAAAATATACGACCACGTGCAAACACATGTTAAATTTAAAAGTTACCTGTTTCACTTTATCTTCACAGATTTTCAACACATGTAATAAATAAATTTGCTCTTTAAATGTAAAACAAATTATTAAAGTGAATTAAATGCATAAAAGGAAAAATATTTAAAGTATATTGGATAAACTAAATCAACTTATCTTATTAATGTTCCGGTCCTCTCCTTGTACTGTCTTGTTGAAAAATAATCGTGGAATGAAAATTGACCGGGAACACGTGTTTATATATGACAAAAAGCCACGAGGCGCTTCAAAGCATATTCTTTCGTATGTTTAGATATATGGTTATGTTAAGATTAATGGCAAACTATAAATAATGAACTGACTGTACATTTAAAACACAATTAGCAAATACATGTATTTTCAATGCAATAAATCAATTTAATTATTAGATCATTAAATTCTATTAATATTGTATGATCGATAAAACAATTTAGTTCGCTGATTGTTGATAAAAAAAACTATGGCTGTTATTCAACTTTCGGGTTTTTGGTGTTAGAGTTTACCGATCTTAACCTTAAAAGACATTCAACACATAATCAGGTAGCACGTGTATAATACATGAGAGGATAGAGCGATGTTAATTTGTTTTTCCCTGTTTTTCATTCGTTCCCATTTGTTAATTTGTTATTCCCCTATCACACTTTGTTAAATTGGCATTTTTCAAAAAATTGTGCCGAATTCATCTTTGTTTTAAATAAAGAACTACTTGTCATGAGTAAAGTGTTATCCTGTCCAGTACTACAGTCAAAATTTCACATAACATTTAATTGTATATAAGATAATAACCATCACCGGAAGTAGACCAATCAAATTTTCACCCCTTTTTCCCTTTTTACAAGCTTTAGTCACCATGTCATCTCAAGTTTCCAAAAAATATTTTATAGAAACACCAAATAAAAAAATAATGGTACTTTGAAACACCCAAGATATATGTTTAGGAATCAGACATTTTTTTTTATTGCAATGAAATGTAGGATTATTTTCTAAAACTGTTGATTCAAGGGAATATTGTTTTCGACCCTTTTTCGTATGAAACCGGATGGGACGTACTATGATTTATTGATATTACACCTCACCTCATATCGTGACTTATATCTAGAAATTAACAATAAGGGTCGGTTAAGAACAAAATTTTACGTCAAAAGGGATGATTTCAGATTTCTAATAGTAAACTTTCCATTTCAATGTAACAACATTCCAGCATTGCCCTACAATATTCTAGAACTTGCGTTTCCTATAATAATTTCCCATGCTAATAAACGAAGAGTTCATTGAGGTAAAGTTGGAGTCATCCCTTCTAAAGTTTGACGGACGCAATCACGAGAGGGGTTATCGTTATGAAATATCAATGTCACACGGGTATACTTAATTGTCGTTACCACAATCCCGTCCTCAATTCGTCGATTTTGACATAATGAAATGAGACTCATCACCGAAATTGTACTTACCATTAGCAACACGAATTATAAAGGGAGAGACGCATTTATTTCTTTTCGTCTTCTTGACAGTCAATAAAAAGTTTAACACTTTGAGATTTTGATGTATAATAAGTAAAGTGGCAAGCATACATTTAAAGATTTGTTTGTTTTATTGTTGAAATGTTCATTTAATCATATTAACTTCAACATATTGTAATTTGCATTACATTGCATTTTGTAGTTTTTACTATGACAGATACATTATTTACCTCTTTAGTTAGAATGGCTTTAGCAAATACAGTTGTGTCATCGTTATACTTATTATTTCTGTATTTGAGTTGAAGACATTGCTCGTCACCATCTTCGACCCAAGGTGTGGACGCTTCAACATTGTCATTACTATATGCACCGCTGTGTATCTATCAAGGAAAAATATTTTTTTTTTTATAAATGGTTTATTTAAATTTTTGTTCAGTTTTTCTTTCAAAAACAATCCAGATATATACTTATTAATTGAAGTAACTCAAATTTTGGAACAAAATTAACATATCCTAAAAAGGAGATGAAAATCAACGGCTCTTGAAATTATTCCAACTGAGTCAAACTTTGAGAAAATCGCATAAATTTCTAGCATAGCGATCCTGATGTGTCGACAGGGTTAATATCTCCTGTAATGCATACATAATCTTATTTTGAATCCAAACATAAATGCCACAACAGTTTATAGAACACAATCTGCTGATTTATAGACGACGATTTTGGTTTATAACAATAGCAACTTAAAACTATTAAAACATAGCAAATTATCAAAGGGACAATGGAAAACATAAACATATTGAAAATATTTCAATTTGGCTTTATTTTTGAGTGGACTTTTTCTTTTATGTAAATCACATACTTACATCTACTAAAACGTCTTCATTTCTTACATTCTGATCTCCAATTAAACATATATGCTTTTTACTTCTATGTAAATTGTCGAAGACCTGTGAAATATTGAGACACGTTTGTTATGACGACTCATAATTGCATTCAACATATTTTTATTTTAGTTTTAAGCAGGAACTAGATGAATGCTGGAATAAAACTTTATACTTTCAGTGTGCGTCACAATAACCAGTCAATTGTAAACAAATGTTATTCGAAATACCAGTAGGTTATACTACAACCAGAAACAATGTTAAACTTTCAAAGGAACATATCTGTTATAGTTTCAAGTAAACACCAATAAAAGAACAATAGATAGGAAAGCAAGGTTAACGTCAGAGAGATTAGGCTATTCTTATCATTCTGATTTTTATCACGGTTGATATATCAAATGTATTTAGTCTAATTGGTTGATTGATGTTGTTTACTGAACATGCAGTGGAAAATAGTTCATGCATATTCAGGAGGAGAACAAATTAAGCAGGTAGATTTTGAACTGTGTGTCTAAGTTGACAACTTGTAGCAACCACCATCCCGTCCTCTTTTCATCTATTGTGGCATTACCGTATGCGACTTGTCATCGTTTTTTATATGCAACTAGAAATACGAAAGTTGCCACTACAGAAGCAGGAACTGCTCACCCTTGCGGACGAACTGAATTCATCCTGGTTTTTTGTGGTCTTGGCATTGCTAAATCTTTTTTTTTTCTGTAAAAGATTTTGTTATTTAATAATTACACTTCAATCTTGCATGCCACTTCGTATGTTGTAATACTGTTCCAGTTGATATTCACTATTACCGAAAAGGTGTAATATGGCATAAATTTGTAGGGGAACGGCACAGAGGTTTAAAGCAAAAGCAGATATGTGGTGAGCATGAGTTATCTCTCTACAATACATAATTTCTGATAAGTTTGTCCGATGCATTTTTAATTTTATTATCATGCATTAGAGATAAATTGCTTTATTTAATACACAGATACCAATACATGAACCCTAGGACCGAGACGGATAAAAAGTATGTCGTTTTTTTGTTATTTTCTGTGAAACAAACTTTAGTTATAATAACAACTAGAGGTAGCCCCAAAACAATCTGATAAATAAAGTAGAGTCACCTCTCATTAAATACAGAAATTAAAGAAAGAAAATATGTTCAAAGTATAAAAATTGATTTCATAAAACAAATACATGGAAAGAGAGCGACATCTGATCAATACAAGCAGTTAGCTATATAGGCATGCTTTCCTATTGTTTTAATGAATATTTGAGCAAATTCAGAATTTCAAAGGAATGTTTAAAAAAAATTATTGACACCATGGTAAAACATTTGTTGGTTCAGATATACAATTGCGATAATCACCTTGACGAAGGTCTAACAGCTATTTTATGCTAACTGAATTAACTACTTTGTTTAACAAATAAACAACAAACATTTATAGAGATATGAACAAAAATAACATGTAAAAACGAAATTTGTGATTTCACTTCCATCCAATTTCAGTTTGAAGCTGTAGATTTTAAAAGCTAGTTAAAACGATCTAATATATGAAAAATATATTCTTGACGGCAGAGGCTAATTTTGTTTATCAAAGAGGTCGTTAGAGATGAATCATTTTATGAAACAATCTATAAGGATTACAGTTATAATTAAAAGGTTTTTTCTTTTGAATCATAAATATGATTAATAAAAATTGTTTCAAGGTTGTACACGTTTCTTGAGAAAAAAGGACCGACCATATATCTTATTTGGTAAATGGATTTGTATATGGAATATAAAAGATATGCTATATGAAGAAAAGTTTTAATTTTTTTTAACATAATAAGTTAAAAACGTTTGGTTGGAAAAAAGAGGCGGAATATACAAAGAGGACACCTAAAGCTCACACGTCATTCAATATGCTTGAAAATAAACAAAGACATTTTGGAATCAATAAGAAATTTAACAGACGGATATCAAACAAATGACAATTAAATCAACAGAAATAAAAGGACATAACACAGATAAAAGAGAAATGCGAACAGCAGAGACAAATAGTAATATAAGTGCATGTACTTAAATGTCTCATTAATTGACGAAAGTCATGCCAAGGGAAGGCAATAGACAGTTTCTATACAATACATCTAGCTCTAAATCCTGAATAGGTATGAATAAATGGAATCCATTCAAGATCTTTCATCAAATATTGCTTATTTAATCGAACACCGAATATTTTTGAAAACTTCGGTGAAGATAACAACTTCTGTAACGGCATTGTAGCTTCTCAATCAATTTAAAGTCTAGATTATTTATTATTTTTTTCGGGTTTTGTAGATATTTAAATAATATGGTACCTTATTTCATAAGTTACAACTTCCATGGAAACAAAAACATTAATCATATAAATGGATTTTCTTAAGTTGGGAGGACAATTTATGAATTTTTCAAATGAGAGAGAGAGAGAGAGAGAGAGAGAGAGAGAGAGAGAGAGAGAGAGAGAGAGAGAGTTGCTTATTTAATCGAACACCGAATATTTTTGAAAACTTCGGTGAAGATAACAACTTCTGTAACGGCATTGTAGCTTCTCAATCAATTTAAAGTCTAGATTATTTATTATTTTTTTCGGGTTTTGTAGATATTTAAATAATATGGTACCTTATTTCATAAGTTACAACTTCCATGGAAACAAAAACATTAATCATATAAATGGATTTTCTTAAGTTGGGAGGACAATTTATGAATTTTTCAAATGAGAGAGAGAGAGAGAGAGAGAGAGAGAGAGAGAGAACCGGCATGTAAAAATCTTGATAATTTACTTTTATGTACCTTTCTAAAAAAAGAACTTTTAACACTGTGCATTCAAAATCGAATTCACAAAAAAATAAACACAAAAATACATATACATACATAAACATCTTTCTCTGCGAGATTTCCTTGGTAAATGTTTTCTATCTTCAGTTGCTTTTCACATTTGTCAAGACATAAACGTAAAATAATAAGTAATAAGAAAATAAACAATGCAGTTGCACTAACGATAATACTATTGTAAGAAACACTTATTGAAGCGAAGCATGTTCCTTCAGAAATGTTGCATGTGCATATAGTAAGAAGACTTTCGTTGAAATTGTTGCAATTTTGGCAAACTTCTTCACACGCTAAACATGATTTGTTAGTTTGATTCATATAGTATCCACTTGGACATTTGTTGACACAACTCAGATAAACATGTAAATCATTGATAAGACCCGTTACGTTCACAGGTGGGACTGACGTAGTTGAAGTTATTGAATGGTTAACGAAAATTCTCTGAGAACTATGTGTACTTGAATGTGTTATAGTAGTCATTTCACTTTCTGTCAAACCTGAATTTTCACATGGAGTTGCATTAATGACTGTTGATGATATATAGAGAAGTGAGCCTTTTGGGCACGAATTTTCACACGATTTGACATCTTTACAGTCGAGAAGACATCCGTTTAGGTCAACCTGAAAATGTATAAAGCAAAGCAAAACATCTAATTAATCAATGAAACTATGTCAATTATCTCCATACAGGGCCTAATCTAGGATATGTTTAAGAATGATTCTAGGCCAATAAATAAAGATATCGGTCAACAAAATATTAATTAGCAATTATAGAGCTTATTTTTGATTCTTTTCAAAAAACAAAAGTCACTCACACAAAAATAACGAATTGGTCTTGTTAACAAAACAACGGTTGATGATCTCCAGCAGACCAAGCGTCATACGTTTTCTTACAATCCACTTATCCGTCATCTGATTTTAACTTTTGAATATTTTAAATTAAAAGAGTAGCAAGAAATCACCCTTTAATTTCCACTCCTAAACCTACCGAAGACTCATAATAAATTAAAGGAATACAAATCAGCTGAGTGGTTACGCAAAATCCTCATAACGCAAATCAACGTCAAATTATATTCAAACAATTGCACGATTTCCTGATTAATTGGTTTGAATGTGAAAGCCATGGAGGTACAAAGACGCCGTTCTATTTATTTCATTTAAATCATCAACAGTATTAGTCCTCCGTCACTTTGAATATCTCGATTTTCTTTGTCAGTAGACATTTATGTTGACATGTGCGACTTGAAAATCACAAGTTGTCTTCCTTATACCGAATTTGATGGCGCTATGAAGTCTGTTGTTTGGCGAGTTTTAATTATTTTTAAAGACTCCAAGTAATACATTCAAATTATTATAAACAAAGATTCCATAGATGTATCGATGCCCAAAACTCGTAAATACACTGTGAATACTGTTATGATATTGCAACTATCATATATATTTAGTTGGCTTAATTTGTTTTGTGTGGCCTATTATATATTTTTCTATTGTGTACAAAATAATACACATTGTGTTACAACTATGCAGTTTAGCAATAACTGGAACAATCATTGATACTCATGGAATGATTAGAACTTTCTATTTCACTTACATAACGTTTCCAGAATGATCATAACAAAAGATGCGCAATTTAAATATCTACCGATATCTAGAAGTTTCCGTTTGAGTATATATACAAGTATGCAGACCCTAAAGTTAGAGATAGACTTAGACATCGATAGACATCAACATTCTCAGCAGTTGGATTGACACTTTTATTTACTAACAACATCATACTAAATTGTGACCTATTGGACGTAATATTCTGTGGATTCCCGTGAGGATTTCCGGATAAAGACAAGATAAAAGATTGGACTCATATTGAAAATGCTCAGTGATAATGATACAAATACACTAATGTATTATAAAGCATGTATCAATATCACTGAGCATTTTCAATGAAAATATTTCACTTTTTATTGTGAAGTTAGTTGTATATTGACTAAGTTCATTGAATTGACTTTTAAATAATTGATTTATCTGTTATCTAATTATTTGTACAAAAAAAAATGAAACTACACAATGAAAACAAAAACACGAATACATAGAAATTACAGATAAACAATGCCTATAAAGTTTGAACAGACTATACAATTAGAAGCTTGTCTATTTTGTTTACTTAATAAGAAGATCATTGTATAATAAACAAAAGTAGGCAAACAAGGAGTAAACCGTTCTTTCTTCAGTAACACAAATGACCTTCAAAAGGTTTACATTATTATGAATTACTCTACGATATGGGTTTTACTCATTGTTTAAGGCGGTACAGTGACAAATAGTTGCTTACATCTACGTCATTTGGGCTCTGGTGGATAATTGTCTCATTGACAATCATACCACATCTTCTTGTCGTATCGGAGTGTTTCTAAACATTTTAACCTGGCTGGTCTGTAGTATTGGCCAAACGCCAAGAAATAACAATTTTCATCATAATGGTTCTCTATCATTGTACGACTGCCCTACTAGAACCCCATTTAAAAATATTAATAAAGGGCATATACCTTCTTACAGTTTGAGATATTCCTAAATTCAAATTGCAGTCTCATAGTTTTAAGAATATCTGACTTATCTTTATAGTTTACGGAAACTGCCACGGGCAAGCTCATATCGCAGGAAGTAAATGAATAAATTGATAAATTGAACATAAATGTACAAATGAATATATTAATTTGGAAACTTAAAACGACGCTTTTATCACGCAATTGTGAAAGATTATTAAAACCGGACGAAAATATCAACAATCAATTGTCTCGATTGATCAATTTTATTATCCGTTAAGAGTTTTAACTCAACATAAATTTGAACAAACGTATTATATGTCACGCAAGCTGCATGCAACCTATACATTAAGGCTTCACGTAATTTTGTCTTTTTATAACAACTTCATATCAACCGAAAACATTTGATTCGACCTTTACATATTTTGTTATTTATTTGTATCTGTTCTAGATAGTAATGCTTTAAATAAATAAGTAGATGAATAAATAAATAGATAAATAAATAATAAGTGAATAAATAAATGGATAAATAAATAATAAATGAATAAATAATTAAATAAATAATTAAATAAATAAATAAATAAATAAATAAATAAATAAATAGATAAATAAATAAATAAATAAATAAATAAATAAATAAATAAATACACTCAGGGATTCTAACAACGTAAATGAAAAAAAGAAATGATTTTGAATTGTCAATTATTGAAATTTCAAGGTTTAAAATGATTTTTAAAAACAGGTTTTGGTGAAGTATAGTAAATATAACGTGTGTGAGTGAATGTCAAATAAATGAAACAAGAATTAAGACTTTATATACAATATATCTTCCTTTAGATGAGAACATGCATGTTTGTAACAGCATGAAAGTTTCATACCCAAAATGTATGCATTTAGTACATACGATATGATTTCCTGAGACACAACATGAGTTTCTTGAATAACTCGCATAGGTATGCTTGATGACCAAAAGTTTAGACAATACAAAATATGCGGTAACATAAAGTCCATTCGGCACAGAATACTGATATTAGCTATTTGCATTTCGACACTTTTACGGAAATGATTGTAAGGCATTTAAGATAAAGATAAGGAGATGAGGTATGATTGCCAATGGAACAACTATCCACCAAAGTTCAAATAAAGTGGATGTAAGCAATTATAGGCAACCGTATGGCCTTCAACAATGAGAAACACACATACCGTATAGTCAGCTATAAAAGGCCCCGACATGAAAAATATGAAACAATTCAATTGAGAAAACTAACGGCCTAATTTATAACAAAACAATTAACGAAAAACAAATATGACAGACATGAACCAACGACAACCACTGAACTACAGGCTCCTGACTTGGGACAGGCACATAAAGAATGTGGCGGGGTTAAACATGTTTGTGAGCGCTCAACCCTCCCCTTACCTGGGACAGTGTTGTAACAGCACAACATAAGAACAAACTATAAAAATCAGTTGAAAAAGACTTAACTCATCAGATTGATACAATGCAGAATAACATCAAACATAAACACAGACCGAACATGGCTTGGTATTTATCCATCCATCATCCCTAACAACAAAAAGGATACCAAGTACAGATCTGAGAGAACTCGCAGTTACTAACAGCTAGTTCAAAGCCAATAACAACTAATAAAAAAAATCATGTATCTTAGACTAAAATATCAATCAGTACACATCCAATATCCAATGGATTTAGTATAAAGACGTCATTAACAGTCAGAAAAAATACGACCTTGTGCAATGCCAAAATGACAAACGATCGACAGATTGTAGTACCGTTAAAGTGCATATGTGTATAACAAAACTATTAGTATGATTTTAATTTACTGATAAAAAAATCAATATTTATACCAATAAAAACAATATTCAAAGATTTAATTACAGTGTTGAATTGGTAACCTTTGAGAATAAGTTTATTTAAAGGATTGATAAGTTTACACGGATCGTATATAAATTTCCGGGCTCGGCAAACAACATCACCGTAAAATTGAGGATGTGCTATTCCGTCTGAAATAAGTTTTTTACAGGTACAGTCAAACCTGCAAACCAAATCTTTGTATTTATGGAAGAATTTAGTAAAGGTCAATTTACAGTCAATGGACTATGTCACAGATTTTGGTACAATTTTGTATACAACTTTAGCTCGTTAAACTGTAACTGAAAATCTCTGAAATTTAACTGAATTTGTCTTAAAATCATCAAATCTCCAATTTCGAATAAATAGATTTTTCTTTAAAAAATGTATTTTGTTGATAAAAATATTTCCGTTTTAATGGTGTAAAATAATAATAAGATCATCGACTTTGTTTTTTACGGAATAATTTATTCAAAGTTGTGTTCCAGGTGAAAAAAAAAACACAAAACGTCGAAAAATGCGTAACGTCATCGCGTTGTAATCCGTCGTTTTGTTTACGTTTTTCAATACCAACCAGGTAACATATTTGTTAAAACACCAAAAACGAAGTCGGTAACCAATTGATTATTTTATATCATTAAAACGGAAATTTATGTCAACACCCGAATGCAATTTTGATTTTAAAAGATACTTTTCCTTAAAATTCAATTATTCATTCTTTTGAACTAGTTGACTAGTAAAGTACCACAATTATCTTCTATCTATTGATCTGAATGTATGGTACTTCAAATGGACTCTAGATAAATTCAATAACTTACTTTTGATGTATTTTGTGATATCAACAACGACAAAAATACAGCTATCTTTTCCATATTTTAAACTGAATGTGACTTTAACATTTATATATACATATATATTACGAGCAAATTCTTGACAAACACTAAATAACACATAGGATTGTACTAGTAATTGTAATCAACATAATCAGCAATAAGATAACCATTATACAGCAATACTTATATAATATTTCAAAATGATTACTCTCCCGTGAAGAAAAATATACTTATAATACATCCCTTTTGTTAATGTATTGTAAAGATAATACTTAGTCATGTAACAGGAACATTAAAATGGAATTTCATAAACGTCCTTATAGACAAAGTTATATTGAAAGGTCTGCTAAAGTTTAAACTCTCTCAGGCAAAGTTAATCTTAGATCGATTTGGCTTTTTTATGGTCCTTTTTGGTCATATACGTCTTCAACTGTTTGGTTTTCATAAATCCTTGGGTTTCAAATATTCGACTTTGAGCGTTCCTGTTGTATGTAAATCAGGAAAAGCACTTCGTACGCATGAAATTTATAAAGTGTAGTGTTCATTTTATTCTGTCAAATGCTCCACGAAAGCTCTTTCCAAATTACTTACATCGTTGTTTTAAGCTTTCAACACTGGGCTTCAAATTACTGTAAAAATACCTACGATGTTGAGACTTTTATTATTTTAAATATCTGTTAGCTAGAGAAATCTAAAATGTAACCCCCTCTTATCATGCAAAACAATATATCCGTATGACTTCAAGTGTTTTTTTTTAATTCGAAACGGAAATGCTGATTGAAAAAACAGTCCAACTTTGTTCCACATAAAGCATAAATACAATTATATTGGTTTAAGAAAGAAAAATAAATCATACACTGTTAAAATCTCTGTAATTTAATCAAAGAGTCTCTGGGAAAAAAACATCACCATAATCTGTCAATCTTTTTTCGAAAATTTTTTATTACGTTCGATGAACGTGTTTTACAGACAAGTGGCAAATGCTGCTCTTGTCTTGCGACTTGTTCTTTTATTCGTAAAAGGTAGACTTCATGCAAAATCTCTTAAAAAATTGAATGAAGCGGCTTTATCTTTTAATTGAAATTACCCTATACATGATGTATGATGTCGTCTCATTTAACAATTCAAGTAGGGTTCGCTTCATATGTCATTAATTATATATCGAAATTGACATTCGGTTCGGTAGGGATCTTTATTTTCAACAAATGATCATATTTTTCCCATTGTGAATATTCCATTTGCAATCAGCAACATTCTAGAAGCACCTCCATATATATGGTATTGATCCCCTCAGTTGATAATTTATTTCAGGGTTTGCATTTTCCTTTTATGATTTCATCTTGTTTGCATGAATACATATTATCTCTTCGAAGACTGTATGCATACCATTATTTGATTGACTATGTATTATATTTATCACGGTAGACCCCGGATATATTTCATTTGTTAAAGACACATTGAGATTTCGTCCCAACTTCAGCCTTAATGATATACCTACCGGATTGTGCTTTCCATAAACAACACTGCAATTGTTTCTAGCGGAAACGGAGATATGCCTTTTGAGGTCATCCCAGTTTTTGGTAAGATTCATGTTCCACCAGCGTTTTTAATAAAGGGAAATGTGGGGAAT